GCCCACATCTGTAAGTGTGCAGGAAATGCGTTGCCCAAGTGTCTGTGGTTATCATTAACCTTCAGCTGCCTCGACACAGACCATAAACATTCAGCTCTGGTGCATGAGACGTGGGCCGAGGCCACGCCCAGCTTGTCTCAGGGCGTCTGTTTCATCTTCACCGTGGAACCCATGTGTGCTGGCGATGATCCTTGGAAACAGTCACGAGGAAGAGCGATTTGTTTTTGTTGGAAATATTTTAAAGCATGCTCATCAAAGTGTGCTTCTTTATTTTCAGATTCTCCCTTCTAAAATGCCCATACTGAGCCGAAGTCATTACCTTCAGCGTGTCCTCCTCCACGTCAGGGACAGCGTGGCACAGCTGTGCCGCTGTTGTGGCCGAAGCGGGCCCCTCGAAGCAGTTTGTTTCTTAAGTTCAGTTTTACCACCGTAAAGCTCAAGGTACATTTCCTTCCTAGCATTTTAGTTGTTCAGAAATACACAAGCCAGTTCTTCATGGGCTTTCTTTTCCTAGGTGTTAGGGAAAGCTAGTTGGAGTTTATAGAGCTGACACTGTCCCTCTGCAGGTTGTGGTATGGATTCTGCAGCTGCCGAGAAGGAATGCTCCAGAAGGAAGGAAAGTTTCCGTGTTGCATTATTCTCGTTTCTTCACCCTGCAGTCTCCCTTTCTTGTCCCAACCATTCTTAAAAAAGAGAAAAACGAGGGAGGAATGACGCACAGACCACTTGTAGTTTTTCTACCTTCGTCCCAGTTTCTTGTTGACTTTTCTCCTCCTATACGTGTTCTCTTCTGCTGCTCTTTGTAAAATTCCCCCTTGCCGCCCCTCTGGCCGCTGTCCAGTTCCTCTGCTCCTTTCCTCCCATCCCTGTCTGAGAGCAGCAGTCTCCTCCCAGCTGACCGCCACCCAGCACTCCAGCCAGGTTATTACCACGTTACCCTCCTGGGTGGGTGGGGCCAGCGCCTACTAATCATGAGCACTTGAGCTTATAAGTGCTTTATTCTTTTTAACAGCAGGTTTGAGCTAAGCCCTAAAATAATGTCTCTGTCAGCCCCTCTGTCAGCAAACAGAAATACCCCGTTACATGGGAGGGAAAGAGCAACAGGCACCTGGTCGCAGCCGGGAGCTGGGCCTGGCGCAGCCACCTGGGTCACAGCTGAGAGTGCGCTCCGAACATGCAACTGCCGCCTTCCCCTGCTGCAGGAGGGCTCCACGAGGGGCGGCTGCTCTGCTGGTTTGCACAGTTGCTGGGCAGCTGGCGTGCATCCGAGCTGTGTGGTATTAAAGGTGAGCAAGCCCAGGAAGAAGAGAGCTTCTCCCCCAGCAGGTGTCAGAGTGGCTGGCTGGTTAACACAAGGTTCGGAAGTGAGTGAATTCCCTGTGCAGTAGTTCTGTTTAGATCCAGAAGGAGCCGACTCACAGGGTGTGCACGTGGAGGGAGACTGCTTGTCTGCGAGGGTAGGGTGATTTCTTCCTTGCCTGCACTCGAAGATGCTTTCTGGGAAGAGATGCAGAGGCAGGATTAAAGCAGGCAACACCGCGAACCACAGCGGTTCCTGTGTTGCCTGTAGCGTGGCCGCGCGCTCCCAGCACCTGCTTGTCGTGTCCCTTACTGCAGACACTTCCGAGGGATCAGGTGAGTCCCCGGGAGATATCCTCGTAGTAAACTCGATTTTTCTTTTCCAGCCTGTGTTGACAACCTCTCCTTTTTGTCTCAACTGTAACATAAAATGAATTCTGTGCTCAGGCAGAAAGAATGTGATGAATCCGTAGCATTCTGTCTCTAGAGAGTGAGCCAGTCAGAGCCACGGAGTTTGCAGCTTTGGAAAGTGGTGAGGAGGAGGAGGAGAGAGAATGTTCCTGTTTCTTCCAACCCAAGATACACACAACAAAATTGCATTGCTTTACAAATGCCTCGTGAGACATGGTCTAGGACTGTGGCTCTGGGGGGCCATTTTAGGTCTAAAGGCGGCAAAGTTACGAACTTTTCCTGGAAGACCAGGAGGTGCTTTTGTGGCTGTATAACTGGAAGACGGGGAATGAGACTGTGAGGTTTCATGTGCAGGTGATGGGCCTTTTTGTTCCGGACCTTGCTCTCCCTCTCTGTGCAGATAACTTTTTCCTTGTAGCTCAGGAATGGCTTCATCCTTGGGTTCACATAGCAAAGTCCTTGTGTGGTTGTGGTAGTGGTTGCACAACTCTTCGGAAATACTAAGAGCCATTTAAATATGCACTTTAAATGGATGAGTTATATGGTATTGGAATTGTATCTCAATAATACCATTTTATAAAACATCACTGTGGAAGCCAGGCCTGGTGGTGCATGCCTGTAATCTCAGCTCTGAGGAGGCTGAAGCAGGAGGATTATAAAGTTTGAGGCTAGACTGGGTGACATAAAGAGTTAAAGGCCAACATGGACTACAGAGCAAGACCCTATCTCAAAAAAAAAAAAAAAAAAAAAAAAAATCAATATGTAGTTGAAGTGAGATTATAAGTTTTGGGGGTTTCTTGGTGGATTTACCCAAAAAAGCAAATGTGTTTCGTAGTTTGTGCAGGAGTGGACGTTTTATGGTGTGGGCGGCATGTGTGTGAGAACACCTCAGCTGCTGGCGCATTGTGTCCTGCTGTGCAGCTGTGGCCCTGAGGCCCCAGGGCGGGAGACCCTCGCCCTGTGTCCGCCAGCTCCCCGCTCAGCCATGCAGACTGGGCCTGTGAGGGCTGCTCCAGCTTGTCTGTGTGATTATGTTGTCCAGCTAAAACATTTCAATAATCGGTCCATATATAGGTGCTCAAAGAAAGCTGTTTCATGAAGAAAAATCGCAGCCTTAGGAAAATTTGATCACAGTAAATTGGCACTGAAAAGTCACTGTTGGGTGAGACATGGCAGAACTGCGTCCCTATGGGAGGGTTGGGGGACCCTGGGGTTGCAGGCGGTGTCTGGCCAGGGCGCCTCGGAGCCGGTGCATCTGTCCTCCAGGGCAGGCCCAAGACCGTAGTGCAGCATGTGTGAGGAAAGACTGCAGCCAAGTGGGTGTTTGAGTTACATCTCCACTCCAGAGGAGCGGGAATAGCACTTTTCACAAAAGAAGTTCTTGCTCTGATCAACCTTTCCGAGGAAGCCTCCTGTAGCACTGTGTAAGAGAGCTTCTACCATAAGATTCGTAGGCACTAACAAAAACTGAAGTTTAGTAAAATATGAAGGTGTTATGGAAGTGGTCTGAAGTTACCATGTGTGTGCATGTGTGTGTGTGCGTGTGTGTGTGTGTGTGAAAGAGAGAGAGAGAGGGAATAAAACTAAATTTACCTTTGTTCGATGCCTATTTATTAGTCCAACAAACACTAATTGGACATTTACAAAGAACCGTGCATTATGCCAAGTTATGGAACTACAAACACGAGGAAGATAGGATTCCCCTTCGTGTACTTAGTGTCTTTTTAGAAATGAGAAGTCTTTGCATATACTATAAATACAGCGCATGGTGGGGGTATTGTTGAGGGGTGCTGAGTCCCCCGTTACTAAAGCACAAGTTCCTTCTCACTCTTCTTAGGGATACGAAGTTACGTGCCTCCCCGAAGGAAGCTGCTTCCTGCCTGTGTAGGAGGCGACCACTTTGTGCCTCCTTGTGGGTTCTCTCCCCGCGGCTGTTCGCTCGCGCACACCAGACCGCAAGCGGCAGATTCCGCCTCGCGAGGCTCGGGTGCCGGGCGCTGTGCCGCCCAGGCCGAGGAAAGCACTCAGTGCCTGAGCCTTTCGGCCTCACGGCCCCTTCGAGCTTTCACAGATTGCGGAGAGCCTCCAAGAAGCTTTTGTTCATGTTTTCATTTATAGCTCATATGTACCACATGGGAATTGAATCTGAGCAACTGTATTTAACTCACTAAAAAATAATAGGCCAATTATATGTTAAATAATGTCTGTGAGAAATAATTACATTTTTGAGAAAAGTTTCGTGAGGTGTCACTTCACATCCGCAGACCTCTCAGGCGTGTGGCTTCGTAGACAACTGCAGAACTGCTGGCTGCACCCAGCACACTGCTGCCCGACCTGGAAGTGGGAGGGAAGGAAGGTTCTGCTGTGAATCCGCGGGCGGAGTGAGGGTGAGCCAGGGGTTTTGTTTCCTCACCAGGCTTTGATTGAAAGCTTACCCTGTACATGTAGATAGGAAACTGATGGCTTGAATATGCAGAGTTTGGAAGTGGTGACAGCTTGGAGTCCCTTTAGCAAGCTTGTCCTGTGTATCTGAGTGGTAGCATTGAGAGGACAGGAGATGGGGACAGTGTGATTCAAATGCAAGCACACCTGTTGAAATGGGTTGTGAAGATAGAAATTAGGAAATTAAAGCTTGAAGCTGGGCTTGGTGGCACATGCCTGCAGTCCCAGCACTCAGAGGCTGAGCCAGGAGGATCATCTTGGTGAGTTCCAGGCCAGCCTAGGCTACAAAGTGAAACCCTGTCTCAAAAAAAAAGAAAAGAAATGAAAAAGAAATTGAAGCTTTGGAGATCCCCTGGTATCTTAAGGAGAGAATGTATGTTTCTGGTACCAGAGAGTATTGTTGTTCTTTTTAATTAAAAAATGAAACAGTGTTGGGAGACCCTTAACAAGTAAGGGAGCACCGTGGACCGGAGGTGCAGGGAGAGGGCCGTGGCCGTGGAAGCCCCACGTCCCTGAACAATTGAGGCTGGGGGCTAGGAGGGCCACGTGAGCACGGTGTGTCATTCATGGCAACACCAATGCCATGTGTGTTTAACGTATCACCTGTAGGTTGCCTGCCTGTTTAGTCTTCCCAGAACATGCAGAGCAGAATGGGGAAACGAACATCCAGTCCACATGTGAAACTTCTGCTAGTGGTGTCGTACTTGGCTTCTGCTTCAGGTGTTTTTGCATTTTGTACCCGGAATTGAACTCAGGACCTTGTGCTTGCCAGGCAGGCGCTTGTGCCACTGAGCTACATTCCCAGCCCTGTGCTTGGCTTCTGATCATCTCTCTCTGCTTTTTTCCAGACCACCCAGACCTTTCAAGTTACCAAAAAGGTAAGGTACTTTGGCCCCTTTACCACAGAGTGACTTCACCCCCACGTTTGCCCTCTTAGTACCTCACCCAGAGCTTGCTGTTCTTTCTACTTTCCTCATTCGTATTTTTTTGAAGGAAAAAAAATTCCTGAGATAACTGCCAGAAGAATCCCTCATCTTCAGAAATGGTTATGGCTCTTACGGTGGCTGTTTCTCCTTTAGGCTGTTTGTGTCTAGCCTGTATTTGTCCGAATGTTTGCATCCCTCCTTGTACTAGGGCAGAGGCACTCTTGTGCCAATAGCCCCCAGCACATGGCAGTTTATTCAGAATGCCCCCTCTGCCTTTCTAACTGTTGTGTAGCCCCACTGAGAGGGAGGTATGGACATGTTTGAAGTCCATCTTTTTGTAGAGACGCTAAATGGATAAAAGTTTCAAAAAAAACAAAACAAAGCATTGTCTCATCAGATATGGTTATACCACTGTTTGGGGATTGGGATGCCATGTCACTGCACTTCAGAAAGTCTAAGTGATCTTTGGAACTCAGTTGCCACGGAAGTTCCCATTTTAGTAACTCCAAAGCCTGCCTCAAGAGAGTTATCTTTTAAAGCAAAATTGCTACATCATTTTCTTCTTCCATTTAAACACTTTTACCATTAAAAATAATACTTCTCTTTTAATTGTGGTAAAATACATTCCATTAGTAAATGCTTTTTCCTTTTAAAATAATATTTATTTTTTAACTGTGGTGAAATACAATCTGTAAATTGCATCTAGGCGTTTCTAAGTGTGTGGTCCTGAGGCATCACATGTATTCGCACTGTGCAGCAGGCTGTCACAGGGCTGGTCTGTCCAAGAGAGGGACATCTCGCCCCCTGACACTGTACCTGTGAACCCGTGAAGCAGTGATTGCCGGTCCCACTCCCCGCAGCCCTGGCGGCCACCATCCTACCTGCATTTGACTACTCTTCCTCTCCTATTCAGTTTTGTCCTTTCGTAACTGGTTTATTTCAGTTAGCTTAATGTCTTTAAGGTTTTCCATGTTGTAGCATGTATAGAATTTCCTTCTCCCACTCTACAGTATGTATCACATTTTATTTATGCAAATTTTCCTCCTATTTTTATAAAAAATGAAAAAAGATAAAGGGAATATGCAAGTAAATATGTAATACTATGAAAAGGAATTTCAGTTCTCTAGACATAAGGGCTTTCTCAGTAGACTAAATTTTTATATTTTGAAAAGATTTTAATTATTTTTCCTTTTGTTTCTATATTCATATTTTTAAAAATTTCTAATTTCCTCTTTTTGGTATATATACATACAAATACAAGTTTTTTAAAAAAGACTTTCCTGATTCCCTTTTCCACCTTAGCCAGAAGTAATCTCTTATTCAGAAAACATCTTATCTTTAACCGTAAGAACACCTCTGTCTGACTTGTTGTGTAGATGTGTGGCTGTCTAATTTTCCGTGGGTTCCTTGCATGCAGGGTCTGTGTCTGCCATTTTGTATTCCCATAATGCCCTGCATCCTTGTTACTTCACCCTAATTGCTGGATGGATATATTACTTTAACAAATGAAAGAGTTCTGAATCCTGTTTTCTGTGTGTGAAATTTCTTGAACTTCAGTCATTCTTCCCCCTAAATTCATGATGCCGCAGGAAATGTTGTGATAAATAACATTTTGAGATGCCTCCCTTCAGGAAGAAAAGGAATGAGGAAGAGTACTGAGAGAAACAGAAGGAACAGAGTGAAGGCGAAAGGGCTTTAGGAAGGAAGGGATAAGTACAAGAGCTATGCTCCAGTAGGAAGGTGGAAACCAAGACTGCTTGCTCGCAGAGGACATGGGGAACAAAGGGCAAGTGACCGGGGTTGGGGTTGGGGTTGGAGTTAGGGGTTTTGCAAGGGGAAACAATATAATACAGGACAGTTAATTATAAATTATTTATAATAGTCACCCAAAGAATCATATACAAGAGAGTGCAGGAAATCTATCCACACACTAAACACCAAAGAATCCAGCTGAGGGCCTGGATCCCACAGCAATGTCCTGCATGAGTCCAGCTGAAGACCTAGAGCCCATGACAGTGCCTCCCACGAGTCCAGCTGGAGGCCTGGAGCTCACAACAATGTCTCATGCAGACCTTTTTCACGGATCTGTGCTGGTAAGACCCAAAGGTCAGTGGTGGAAGCTAGGAAAGTCTGTGCCGACGGGATGAAGGATCTGTGGCAGCAGGCTGAGGGATCTGCACCAGAGCCTGGAAGCGACACTCAAAGTAAGAACCAGAGCTCCTCTGAAAAGTACCACAGCCATCCTCAGCAACAGTGAGGACCTGAGCTCCTCCAATGATAGGACAGCCGAGTTCCCATCAGGAAAGCAAATGTGAGAAGCTTCTCCAGGAGACTGAGCTGTGCACCATCTTCCCCTCTGGAGCCGGGAAACGATGCTCAAAGTGAAGGACCAGAGCTCTCCCAAAATGAGGAATGCATTCTCAGCAACAGTGAGGTCCCCAGCTCCTGCTCCTAGAGAAAACCAAGTTCATCAGGAAAGCCAGCATGACAAGGTCCTCCAGCAGAATAGCCCACGAGAACTAGCAGCTCCCTAACAGCTTCCAGCAGCTTCTCCCAACAGCATCTAAACTTCTTCCTCTCCAGTTCTACCTCTTATGCTGCCGGCAGCAAACCTGAAGTGGGCCTCCCACATCCAGCACCACACTGGTTGGGTTCGGCTGGGTGTTACAAGTTGACCACCCGTTCTCAATCCACCACAGTTGGGGTGCCAGGAAAAGGGGTCTTCGCTTCAGGTTCAAGGTGTGCACTCTGTGAGCTTGGCTCTGCACAGAGGTTAGCAGGAGGGAGAGGCGTTTTAAGAAACACGAGAGAGTACGGGGAACTGTGAGCTGAGAAGGAAGTGCTGTGGGGTGTTGTTATTGCAATAGAGACAAACCCTTCATAGCAGGCCTCTTTAAGGCCGTTCGACCATGTGTCGGCCCTGTGAGACTCTTGGTTTATTTGCTTGAACAGTTGTTTCTGACCTGTTCTCAGTGGAGGCCCAGGAAGAAGGTGGCTGAGAATCTGAGCGTGGCTGAGGGACCTCCAGGGGACCCCACCCAGCACAGCAGTGACAGCGGCCGGTGTGCTGGCAGGGTGTCCCTGCTCAGATGCGCAGTGCCCGTGAGCACAGGCCAGCATGCTCTCCTGTCCCCCTCCCTAAGCTTTTTATTAGCTTTTCATCTTGATAGGATGTCTGTTGTCTGGCTCTCACGGTGACGTGAACCTCTTCTTCCCGTAGCACCGTGCCCAGGCCAACGTGTAGGTAGCAGCAAGAGCAGCGTGTGGTGCCCAGGAGAAGTTTGTGCAAGTGGACTTGGCGTGGGGCTGGCTCCCTACCGCGCTGCGCGGCCGTCCTCAGGCCACAACGACGCCGCTGCACACGGGCGGGCGGGCCTGTGCCTGGGAGGCCAGTGCGCCGCGAGTGCGCGTGCGTGAGGGAGGAAGGGGCTGAGCCACCGCGAAAAGAGGCCACACGCCGAAGCTCAGTGAGCAGCACCGTGATGCGAAATCCAAAGCAAATGCTTCCAAGGGGAGGAGAAGCAGTTATCGAAAGAGGGTTTTAGGGCTGCTGGGCGTGTGTGCACAGATTTCTCAAGAGCACAAAACAAAAAGTCATTACGTGGGTGAGTTAAAGGAGGGTGTGAGAACTAAGCAATATGTGGGTAAGTTAAACGAGGGTGTGAGAACTAAGCAATAC